AAAGGACCACTCCCTTGGTGTGACTGCAGTGCTCCATGTCTGTACATCACTGAATGTCACTCTGCACCTTGCACAGTGCACTTCTGATTTTTGTCTGTCTATTTCTTATACTGGTCATGGGGCCTGGAGGAAAGGGACTGTGTTCTTTGTGTTTGTCTTTCTAGTGCTTGACAAATGTTCATCCACACACAATACAGCATTCCATGTTTTGCTGTGGATAATGGTGATGTTGCATCCAGAAATCAGGGGGAAATAATGTGTATATATTTGAGGACAATATTTCTAGTTTTTTTGTGAGTTCCTTTATTTCTATTCTGATGCAAACATTATTTTAATAAATTATCCTTTTCTTTCTCCTTCCTCTCTCTTTCTTTTATCTTTCTTTCTCTCTCTCTCCCTCTCCCACCCTAAATGGTTTTGAAAGGCCTTGGCAGTTATTCTTAGAATAAAGATTTAAGTCCTACAAAATAAACAAACAGAGGACAATTAGTGATTTTAAAGTGTGTTAACCCACAAAGATTATTTTCTTTTTCTCCATGCCCATTTAGTAAGAATGGTTCTCTGAGACTGTGTAATTATGGATGAATGACATTGAAATGCTTGAACAATAATTTGTAGGAAATACAATTATGAGTAGAAGTCATTAGTGGGAGTAAATGAGTAGTTTGTTGGTTAACAGGTCAACATCGAAAGCCCAAAGTAATTAAACATAGTATTACATTACAAGTTAAAAGCATAGTCCTTTTTCATTTAAGCATATTCATAAATTATTGAGCTTTTTATACTGTAGTTTTATGTGTTTTTTGATTTGTGGTACAGAAAGGAAGGGAGCTACCCAACCTGGGTTTCAATAGTTCTATGAACAGAAATGACTCAGATGTAAAATGTGTGCAATGCTTTCTTCATCAGAGAAGTCAGTTGGTCCACCTTGTATGACATTTAAATAACATTTATGAAGTAATGAGAATAATTTTTTGAACATCAAAGCTAATTGGGTACAGTTAATTTACAGCTATTTCCAGAGGCTACAAATTCCATTTACTTGTCTAGTTCTCTGGTCTTAGATTCAGAAGAACTAGTTTCAGAACTTTGTGCTGATATCTATTACCATATAATCTTGTCCTTGAAGAATCATAGTTTCCTATCTGTACAATCTGTTAAAATAAATAACAAAAATAAAAAACCAAAGATTTCTTACTTGACAATGAAACTAGTTTGCATAGGTTGGGGTTATTCTAAGTTTTCAATAAACGTTTGTAATTTTTTCTGCTGTTTACATATTGAATATTATATACTCACTTGGGCATATGTCTGATGGGAGTTTATGAGTGATTGCCTGGAAGGCAATACTTAAAACAGCTCATTTGAACCACTATGAATTGAATGTTAATTATGTGTCCAGTGCTGTGTTAGGAATTGTGCCAAACATAAAGGAGACATGAGGCAGGGGCACAGCAGTCATGGTGCCACCTGTAAGTTGGAGAGAGAAGACACATGCACTGTAGTAATTTCAGGATGATTTAGTGCTGAGAGACGTGGGACTGACTATTGGTTATATAACTGAAGTCTCCCCAGGCTACCCTGAGCCTGCTCAGCCTGTGGATATTTCAATAGTGATAAAAAATTTTACTGTCTGTGGCCCCTGACTCACACAAAACCTCCCCTTTTTAGCATTTCTGCTTGCTTCTAAGTGTTCTCACAATGTGTTTTCTGTGAGTTCATCTGTCTGCCTTAGTCACCATGAGACATCTTTCATGTTCTTTTCCTCCTACTTTGGCTTCTTGGTCATTGTTCTCCATTCAGGAAGGTAGTAGGGGCTGCCTCATCCCTGCATCTACTGCTGGTACCTGCCATGAGAGTACTGAACACATGGGTTTGAAGGTTCAGGCTTTCATTGAAAACCCCTAGGTGTGGGAGTGTGCTGTGCCCCATGATGAAATGTGGCAACTGTCTCTGCATGCTGCTCAGAGTCCCACCTGATCAACTGGACACCAAGACTCTGGGGTGCTGGTTTCTCCATCTCATTTGTGATTTTGTGCATTCAGGATGTATTTATGGAACACTTATTATGTGCTAGACACTGTGAAAGGCATTGATGTTGTCACGGTGAACAAACATAGGTATGGTTTTTGCTGTTGTGTTTAGTGGGGGAGACAAATTCTAAGTATAGAAATAGAGGCCAAATCGCAGTTGTGTTAAGTGTGAGAAAGGAGACAGCCATGGTGATATGACAGATTATGATACAGGGTTTGTCTTCTCAGCAAGTCTTGGAGGCTTCTCTCAGGATTACGCTCTAAGAAATGCAGCAGAGTGAATTGGTGAGAGAATCTTAGGCGGGGCAGCATCAGGTGACAAAGCCATCTGGAGAGTTCCTCCAAATTCTTCCCTCAGGTTCAGTCATAGATCCTTGTGGTCAAGAGAGAGGGCCTGTATCTGAGATTGACGCCATATCTTCTCTGTCATCTTCTTTTCTCCCATCTGTTTCTTTGTGCAAACTTCCTCCCCCACACAAAGCAGCTCAAATAAATGGCTCACAAGCTACCCAGACATGCTTGGGAATGCCTAAATCCCAGAGGTACATCCAGATTTTGCTGAAAGAATGATCTCACGGATCACTACAAGGTCTGTAGGAGGAAGTGAAGATGAAGTGTGTTCTGAAATTCATTGAAAAGATCGGGTTTGAGTCGTGCTTTAAAAGGATAGGTGAAGAGAAAGAAGCAAGGACACGAGTGGAAAGGACAAAATTGACAAAAGATTAGAGGCAGGATGATCCTGCTAAATGAGAATAGGTAAAGAGATTGGGCTTCTTGGAACAGAATTTATTAAGAAATCAGAGACCACAAAGTGGGCTCACATTATGGAGAGTCTTTAAAGTCGAGCAGGAAGTTTGAGACTTTGTTACTGAGTATTGCAGGAAAATACTGCAGATTAATGGATAATGAAGGGATGTAATTAAAATAACTTAGCACAATTTCTTTTGTTTTAAAAAAAGGACATAAGGAGGAATACTTAAAGGAATAAAAGCTGTTTGTAAGAGGGTCTAGCTCAGATAATTATTACAATAGTTTTAAGATGATAGTACTCATCTAAATGTCAATACCTACCATGTAGCTAGAATATGAGCCCAACACTCATTAAACACCCAGGCTTGATGTTTTAACCACACACATAGAGATGTTATTTTTGCAATGAGAGTGAATAAGTTATAAGATAGTTTTACTGGTTTCTAGAAGCTCTGTCAATATTTAAAAAGATGTAACTTTTTGTTAATAGTTGAAAAATATACTTCAAAAATTATCTGTGAATTTTTTTTCATCCATTCAGAGTTGACCATTATTTATAGGAGTAATTAGTTGAGATAGACCTTTGTGGTCTCTACTGTCAGTTCTGCCATGTGTAGCTTGCATGTTGATAGTCACATAGTAGGTGTTTGTTGCATATTAACTGAGAATTGTGAACATTGATCACAGAGTCTGACAACATTTTGTCTTGGATAAACGTTTTTCTATGCTTGGTAGAGATTTTTCTATGAAGACATTCAAGAATGGGTTATAAAAATTCACATATATATGCATATACATATAAATACATCTTATTTCATTTTATTGTTTCCAAAGGTTAAGATATACAAACAAGAAATAAAATTAAAATTATTTTCTTTTGGGATGATTTATGTCTTAATTTTCACCTGCTCTATAATTAGAAATTTTGAACTCTGTACATTTTTTAAGACAAAATTATTGCCCAAGTAAACTTCAGAAATTACAACATTAACCCAGAGACCTTTCTAAGCCTAGAACAACATTATTGGTACAAGCGCTTATGCACAGAGAGACCAATAAATAAAGAGGAAAGTTTAAAATAATTTGAAAATGATTTATTGTCGGCCACCTCTGTAGTTAGAGATTCAAGTATTATTACTTTACTTTAGTACAACAAGGGAGGACAGTAACTTGCTGCAGGCTAAAGGTAAATTATCATCTATTGCAAAAGAGGAATGAAATGTACTACAGAAAGAAGAAGGAGTAGGGAGTAAGCCATGTGTTTTGTGAAGTATTCAGATAATGCCTTGAAAAAAATCTGTGCCTTGACCCTTGCTGGAAAAGACCAGAATAAACTGTGAGACAGATGATCTTCTTGAATTTTTGATAATTAGAGATTAGCGTGCTGGTATGGGGATGGTCAGGTGGGTAAATTGGAGTGTAATACAAACGAAGTTATCTAGAACCACAAGTTGCCCTTCTTCAACTGCATTCAGCAGTCTTATATTAGATAGGTCTAGTTTTTATAGTTTGAAGGGATCATTTAATACACCAAGACTTATGACAACTCTTAAGAGATAATTTTTGTTTTCCACTCTATTTTTGTTATTTGTGAAGTCTTCATATTGGAAATTAGTTATGGAGGTCTATGTCAGAAAGTCTAGTAACCACTTATTTTTACTTGGAATGAAAAAGAGGTGGTAAAATTTCATCCTCAAACACAGTGTGACACAGAAAAGGAAGAGAAAGGATTAACATACACTTAGGGTCTATTATGTGGTAAGATCCAAGCTAGATGTTTCTTAGATACTATTTCATTGAATCTTTCTGAAACCCTATGATGGAAGACCCTGCTACTTCTGTTTTTAACTGAGGAAACTTAAGCCCACTCATCAAATTTATTACCCGAAAGAATAGGGTTAGAATATGACAAGACCATGACTCAAATATAAGTGTAATTTGACCACAACTCTTGTGCTTTTTACACATTGCTATTCTCTATTCTGGATTACTTTTATTGACTTCTTTTTATAGATAAAAAGAAAACTAATGTCAAACAAAATAAAACAAAACTAATATAAAAAAAAATTGGTGCTTATCTATCCTGAAGCTTGCTTTTCCAGATCTTATTTTATGGGATTCTTTGGCTAAATAACATCACATTAATTAATGATTAAATTAATCATGTTTTGATTAATGATTAAATTATCTAGACAACTTTTCCTCGGGCTGCTTTAGGTTCACTACCAGAAGTTATTGTCACCCGTCTTCGAGCAACTGCCCATGCCCGAGACACAGTGTTGGCTTTAGAAGATGCTGTGGACTGGCACCCTGGGGATGAAGTTGTCATAATCAGTGGAACAGGTGTTGAAGGTGCCAAACCGATGGAAGAGATTGTCACTGTGGAAACTGTGCAGGATACAGACGTCTATCTTAAGTCACCTTTGAGGTACTGAGTGTCAGCTTGGCTAAGTTGACATGGATGAAGATGAGATTTTAACTGTGTTGGAGTCTGAACATTTGTATTGGGGTCTTTCAGTGATATATTTCTTCTGCATTAAATAATGCTAGACATTTGGACAAGAAAATTCAAAAGCATGAAATATTTTGAAGATTTAGACTTTGTAAGTTAGTTTTTCTTGTGAGTCTCTAGAACTTCTGTCTTACACAAATGATTAGGGCAATGATCAGCATAGTTTCTAATTTTCATGCACTTGTGTCTATAGTTCAATATTTGGTTTTGAGTTTCTAAAGAAACATGAATAGATCCCCAAAGGAAGAATTATGTTAATCTAGTGGCTTATTATTCGTAGTAAGATTTGGAGTGATGTCCTCAGTTCTATCATCCTCTTTTTTTCCCCAGATATTCTCACAACTTTACAGAGAATTGGGTGGCTGGAGAGCACCATATTTTAAAGGCCACTGTGGCTCTGCTCAGCAGGAGTATTACCATACAAGGAAATCTCACTAATGAGAGGGAGAAGCTGCTTCTTTCATGCCAGGAGGCCAATGCTCCAGAAGGTAGAAGAATATTTTGTTGGAAAGTCCAGTGAGCAAAAAGAATATTCTTACTGTCTGATGATAGATGGCATTGCTATGGTTGACCTGTTTCAAAATAGAATAGGCCCTTAACCTTTGGATGCCAATAATTTTCTGTAGTTTTCAGAATGTTCTTGATTGTCATTTCATCCTCCTCCCTGCCCCACTGCCCAACACCCTTGTGAAAAAGATAGACAAAAGACAAAAGAAATGAAAGATTACTGCTCTGGGGAAAATATTTCTATTAAAGAACTCAATCTGAAGAGTTGAATTATATTTCATTTCTGGGTTCGATGTTAAAATTCCAGGCCACTTCTAATATTTTTAGGAAAGTCATATGCCAGAGTTCTGGACTCAGGCAGCACATTCTTACTGATTAGACTTGTAGGGCTCCCCCATCCCCTTTTCGGGATTTGTTTTCTGAGTGAACTACCACATACTTTAGGTAAGTGGTGGAAAAAGTCAATTTATCTTCTAGTAGAATAGCAGGCACTGAATCACACTGATGTGCCTATTAAGCATCTATTTCAGGGATGGTTAGTTTAGTAGGTTATGTTTTGGTTTCCCAGGCTGTAGGTTATGAGGCTTTCACATGTTGTGAAGACATCATTTGTCAACTTTGGTCCAGGATGGTGTGGGTGTCAAGGATGACTTCCAGGCATGAGCTCTGGATGGATGATGAGGCTATTTACTGGGATGGGAAGGGGAGCAGGTTTTGGGGTGGGAGAGTGGCAATTGTGAGTTTAATTTTGTATATGTCATAACTGAGATGCCAGGCCAGCAACTGTGTAGAGATGTCTGGTAATGTGTGGAGCCTGGAAGAAAGGTGGCGGCTGGAGTTAAAGATTTGAGTTGTGTCTAAATATAGGTGCATGTGAGTATAATGTCATGTGGTTGGGTGTGGAGAGTTGTTAGAAGTAGAGAGGGAGTTTGACCTCACCTCCCTCCCTACAAATCATCTACTCACAAATGTGTCATTCTAAAAAGAATGTTTGGATAACAGTGGGTTCACTTCCATCAACTGCCCAACTTTATCTATTCTGCAGAATTGGGATCTACATTCTTTTCAAACTTCCTTGGTGTTGTGAGATCATATTTTGCCAAATATTGCATTTGATCATGCTGCCAGTGAGACCATGCTTCTAGGTTTAAGCCACTATAAATCTGTTAGCCCCCAATGGAAAACATCCTTGATTTCATCACGAATCATAAATATAACTACAATATTCTCAAAATAAGCCATTCCTTTTCTGTGTGGGGCTGGAGGGTGGAACAAGGTAGTTGAATTTAATAACACAAGGCCTGTCCATCTGAAAATCTGATGGATCACTGGCACAAATAATCAAATTGTGATAAGGCATACAAATATAAATATCTCTTCATTCACCTCTTCTCTGGGTGTTAGCAAATGACTGGATTCTGAAATTTACTGTGGTATGATATAGTGTTTTATATTATTGGTGCTTCTTTGGATCATTAACATGAAAAATCTTTATTATTCAATTGGAGAGATGATTTGTTCTCCAGATTAGTTTGTACCACCAAATGCCATGTATCAGCAGAAGGTGCCCTGGATCCTGAGGTCACAACATTTTGGTAGCAATAGTAGTTGTGTGTGTTCGGTCCAGGTGGTTTGATGCCCTCCCTAGCATTCATAGCTGTGTGTGTTAGTTCAGGTGGTTGCTGTCCTCACTAGCATTTGTAGTTGTGTTTATTAAGTGCAGGTTGCTGCCATCCTCACTGGTGGCACAGCTGGGGAAGTAGGTGTTGGTGCAGGAGCTGCTCAGTTGCTTCTCTGAAGTCCTTTGACATTTCTGTGTTAGCATTATTGCTAAGCCCCCAAACCATAAAACAGCACAGTAATGGGGAAACCTCATTGGACAGCTTAAGATTAAAAAGTGCTGTTATTATATTCAGTGCTAGCATGTCTTTCCTACAATTATCAACCACAAGAAGGTCATTTTATTGCATATTTCCTCCAGAGGATCTTTTGGATTGAAATAAGCATCTATTTAGGTTGGGTTTGTGGGTTATAGTCTGACTCTTTGTGACAGTAATTAAGGTGATTGATTTGGGAGTTTCTTGAAAAAATAGAATGAAGGCAACATCATGTCCTGTTTATCAGATCTTTTAATTAATAACCTACAGAGGAGAATCAAAGAAAAGGGGAAATAAGATTATTAAATGAAATAAACAATAATGGTTTTTTCCTTGGTGCTGACAGTACCTTTCAAACTGGAAGATTTGTCTAGAAGCATGTTCTACATACATTAGGTTCTCTGGACTTTATTTTGTGTTTCAGGTAATCTGCAGCACTGTTTGTATTCCATGAGCGAGAAGATGCTGGGATCCAGGGATATGGGAGCCAGAGTGATCATTCAGTCCTTCCCAGAAGAGCCCAGCCAGGTCCAGTTGAAGGGAGTGCAGTTTCAAGTCTTGGGGCAAGCCTTCCATAAGCATCTGAGCTCACTCACTCTGGTGGGAGCTATGAGAGGTAAGGGGGTCCAGACCTAGGACCTTCTCATGTTGCTTTCTTCCATGTTTAAGGCACTACATGCATGGGGGAATGATAGATGATATGTGGAATTTGAGGGATTTAGAGATGGATAATTGTTATATTCTAGGTCTGTGGCTCCCAAACTTTAGCATGCCTAAACAAATCACTTGTGGAGCTTATTAAAATTCAGAGTTATAGACCTTACCCCAACAAATTCTGGTCTAAGGTAGGCTTAGGAATGTGTATTTTAAATATACAAACCTTTTGATTCTGGAACAGGCAGTCCAAGGAGTCCACTTTGAGAACTATCACTATAATATAGCACACGAGAGTGAACCACACAATCACGTGTTTTGAATTCTGTCTCTACCATTTACTAGCTTTGTGACTACAGGTGAATTGGCATTACATTATCAACACTGTGGGAGTCCAGACACTTCTATGTAAAGTTGTCCTAAATCAGAGGAATCTTTTGCCTGGGGAAATGAGGGGGAATGGGCCGAAACCCAGGTGCTTTTTCTGGGAATGAGGAGTAGATACATGTGCAGATCTTGGCCAGACATGAAGATGTAAGAAGGGAGCAGGAAACACCAAATTCAGGTGAGAACAACTAGGCGAAAAACAAGATCAGAATCAGAAAAAGAGAATATGACCCAATGCACTGACAGAAGTTCTAAAATCAAAGTTGAATATAGGAACATCCAGGGCAAAAACTCATTACCAAAAGCTGATATGCAAAGAATCACAAAATGGGGTGCAGATGCCAAGTCACGAGGACAGCAACTCCATTTCTGAGTGATCCTCCCCATTCATCAGCACTTTCAATACCCACACATTCAAGCTTTGCCTTCCTTAAAGAGGTGGTGCTCCAGGGGTTCAGAGGTGCTCCAGTGGTCCTGACAAAGGACATCAGGGCATACTTTGTTCAGGTGGCTCTTGAGAGACACTAGGATTCTAACAGGTAATGGCAAAGTAATCCTTGAGGTCATTGAGGGCAGGATTCTGATCAGCCAAAAGCAACATTTTCCTTCATTTCAAATTATCTGTATGCTAAAGAAGTCTATTTATTCTAATTTTTCCAATCTCTTTTTATTTATTTGAGTCATTTAGGGGGATGGCTCCCGAAATGTGCTTTGGATCGATTAGTATCCTTATTTCCTTCTCTCTGGTTCTTTGGTCAGCTGTATATAGCACTGCAGAATATTTGACATGTGGCCAATTCAATAAAAAAGAGGGTAGCAGTCACAAATAAGTTATCAATTGAACATAAACAAAGCCCTTCCTTGATGAAATTTTACCTAACCTATCTCTCCCACCTCTGTTTCAATCAGAGTAGCTGCACATTCATCTATTTTTATAGATATTTTATATTTTGGTTTTAGTTGAAAAAGAGTTCAATGCTTAAAAATAAAAGTTTGAAAATTACTGCATTAATACATTATTACCTGTAAATCCCTGTTAAAATACAGAGGCTAGAAACTTTTGGAATACTCATCAAGGAATTTTTTATTGTTTAACACCCTGAAGCCTCTCATGTCCTATGCAGCTAATTACTCCCTGCTACTAGAGTTAGAAGGCATTGGGATCTTTGAACAGTACTTTAAAAAATATTTAATTTAATTTTAAGTTCCAGGATACATGTGCAGGATGTGCAGGTTTTTTACATAGATAAATGTTGCACAGTACTTTTTAAAGATTCACCAATCCCAGTATTCTGCCCTTAGAGCTACACAAACACATCAGTACTTATTGGTTGTTCACATGGTCAGGCATATTCTGTTTGGGTGACATGGTGAAGATTCTGTGCAGCACGGGCAGTGTTTTCTACAGAAGTAGATATGGATGGGTTAATTTATTGGGATGTATCCTTGATGAGTAATGTAAGGGCACCTAGTAGTAGGAGAGCTGAGATTGAGGGGAATGTGGAGATCCAGTGTCAATAGTGATGTTAAAGTTGAGAATTTTTTGGATAGTCCCAACTTTAAAAGTCAAATTATTCCATAAACTAAAGTAACTTTTCTAATATCCCAACGCTTGGCATCTGTATCTTTCTTACTACCTAGTAATAATAAAAAGTTCCCTTTTTAGGATTTATAGTTTAATTATTCAAATAAGGGATTTTTATTATTTTAATGTCAGTTTCCTCCATCAGAATGCAAATACACGAATGCAGAGGTTACTTAGTTTCATTCATTTTTATGTTTCCAGCACAATGCTGTGCCCAATTCCTGAAACATATAGTTGATAATCAGTAATTGTGTATTCATTGACTCATCTAGGCCTCATAACCAGATTTGGGGATCATAGAATATGCCTATGAAACCAGTGTAATGATTTTCCTAATTGTCATTTTTTTTTTTTTTTAGCATAGTAGAGGATAGCTTCCTCTTTAGTTTTATAAACCTATCCAGTTCAAACGTGAGAGTCATGATCCTCAGGCCAACCTTTGGCCTGGCTTACAGTTAGGAATAAGGGTCTATGGCTATCTTGGGCCAAGAATATTATTGCCTGATAAATTATAAATATTAATTCATAGCTCCAGGTTTCAAAGATCAAGGCTGGCCCATAAGCAGTGCTCTTCATATTATTCTTGACTTCTCATCTGTTGTATTGTGATGAGAGCTGATACCAAAGATGATGGCCAGTTGGAAATCTTGACAGCCATGAGTTCTTTTATTGTTTAGACACACTTTGTCTTTCTCAGATTGTTTTTTTTTTCTAACACTTGATTGTTGAATTTCACCCTTTTCATTATTGAGGCCCACTGGTTTGAGTTACCTATTCTCTTGTTTTGATTGTTGCTTCTAACTTCTTATCTCCTGAGTTTCATTATTGTGTGGGATAATGTCTTTAGCTATAGTGTAGCTTCCTTTAAATGTGGTCAACAGAATCTCAGCAGCTATTTCTAATTTTTACTTTATTCTTTCCTATTCAGAGTCTTTCATACAGGGCTGCACAGTGAGGAGCTCCTTCAGTAGAGGCCTCAGCATGTGCGGGACCTTGGGCCTAAAGGTGGACAGTAATGTATTCTACAATATTTTAGGTCATGCACTGCTAGTTGGTAAGTAAAACAAGCTTGTTTAATTTCTGCATTCTTGAGTAGGACACAGTTTTTCACAATGAATTCTCCCCAAATTTGTAATTCCCAATTTATAAAAATATTGGCCTTATGATCACTAGAAATGGGCTATAGTAAAAAATTCTAAATTTAAATGTAGTCACCACTGATTGGCTTACTAAACTTTACCTATAGGATACTGATTTTTTAAAGATTAGGTCAGGTTAATAAGTATATAATGGGAAGTTTTAAAGTTTTCTACCAGTAATTTTCACAATAATTCTAAGTCACATATATATGACTTTGTGTAGTCTTACAGACTGTCAAACTTGATGTTGGCCAAGGATTTAAAAATCTGGAATTCTCTTCTTTTGAATTCTCTTCTTAATAGAATTCAAGCTCCTGTGGCTTGCTGAAGAAGCCCATGTTTCAGAATCTTCAACTGATCACCTGTATCTCCTTCTGTTTCCTAAAATTCATTCCCCTTGCAAAACTCAGAATTATCCTTAAAAATCTCAAGTTGTATATGGC